TGCTCTGAGACCCTCCCAGGGACGAGGAGAGGTGAACAGGCATCGCTCCTGCTGGGATCTGCAGTGCTGGGGATGGCTGGGGGGTGAGGAAACAGAGGGGACAAACACCCACCCCCACATTTTCTGAATCAGGGCTGGCTCTGGGTCAGCGACAGGGTCTGGCACTGGCTTCCACGGTGGCCTGAGTGAGAGGCACCAACCCTCCAGCCGAGACCCTGAGCTCATCCCCCAAGCAGGGCTCGGAGCCCTGTGTGCCTCGGGGGGTGATGCCACAAGCTGGGCAGAGGAAGAGACTGGGGCAGAAAGCGTCCCTGGGGGTCCCCAGTCCCTGCCTGCCTGACACAGCCACACGCTCTGCAGGTGGACTTCCCGCTCTACGACCCTCCTGCCTACTCAGCCGACCACAAGGACATGGCTGTGCAGGACCCGTTCAGCCCGTGAGTGTTCCCCTGCGGCTCCCTGCTCCTCTGTCCCTTCCCCTGGGTGGCACAGCCAGCCCCCCCCTGTCTGGCTGCCTCCTGCTCCTCCCCCCCCCCCCCCAGCTCCTTGGAGTCTCTCCTGAAGATCAACTACAACACCATGGATGGGCTGATTGACCGGCAGAGCTTCCACGGCCTCTACGCCGTGCAGGACGGGCTGCCGCTGTGAGTGCACCCGCCACGGGGGCGAGGTGGGAGCTGGGGTGCCCGGATGCAAAGCGCCAAGGAGAACGGAGAATCCAGGGCAGGGCTGGGCACATCCATCCACTTGCCTATGGCTCATGGTGGGGCAGGGATAATGGCAGGCACAGTCCTCAGGGCTGTGTCCCCCCCACTAAAAAAAAAACAACAAAAACAAACAAAAACAAACAAACAAACAAAAAAAAAAAAAAAAAAAAAAAAAAAAAAACCAAAAATCAAACAGCTCCCCAGAAGAGGTGCAGCGCAGTGGTGGGAAATTTGGGGAAGTGATCTAAGTCTTTGATCAGCGTGACGGGGTGCTGTCCCAGCCTGCTTGTTCTGTCCCTGCCAGGAACCCCATGGGCAGGACGGGGCTGCGAGGCCGCGGGAGGCTGCACTGCTTTGGGCCCAACCATGCCCTGCACCCCGTTGTGACCCGGTGAGCGCGTGGGGACGGAGAGGTGTCCTGCTCAGGGATGGGGCTGGGGAGGTGGAATGGAAAAGGGGGCATGAAGCCATCTCAGGGAGACTGGGACCTGCCAAAACCCACCACTGCCCAGTCAACATGGGAACCTGTGCTGGCATGCTGAGCAGTGGGGAGCAGAGCCTGGCTGCTGCATAACAGGGGCCTCTCCCACAGCTGGAGGAGGAATTTGGATGGGTCCATCATAAGGAAGAGCCTGAAGAAGATGCTGGAAGTCCTAGTGGCCCAGTACCCGCTGTCGGATGTCTGGGCTCTGCCTGGGGTAAGAGCTGGTGGAAACCAGCTGTCCCAGAAGGGTCTGGGGAGCTGGGTCCCAGCTGGAGGCTGGATGCCCTGCAGAAAAGGGAGAATCACAGACGGGTAACTCAGCCTCATGCGAGGAGGTGCCTCTGCCCCTGCTGTGCTTCCAGGAGAGCCGGGCGAGCGGTGGTCCTGGTACACACTCCCACCCACCCTGACCTGCTGTCTCCTGCTTCTTCATCCTCCTCCCCCTCCTCCTCCATGGCTTCAGTTCTGACATGCCCTTCATGTGAGCCACTGACATAACGTCCTTTGGCAGAGAGGTCCAGGGGTTGAATCAGGCAAACTCAGGCACTGGCTTGGGCACAGCTGAGGACTTCTGGCAGGAGAAGGAGGGAGGGAGACACCACGGCTGCTTGCTCGCCCCCCCACCCCAGAGCTTGTGGCATCTTCTGCAATGGTGGCAACTGCCCAGTGGCCAAGCTGGTGGCAGTGAGGGAGCTGGGCTGGTGACAGGCCCCACGGCTGACATCTGCTTTGTCACAGGGGTCACTGGAGCCAGGCGAGACGCTGCCACTGAAGCTCAAGTGGATCCTGCGCCGGGAGTTCTGGCCCCAGTTCCAGACCTTGCTGAAACAAGGCACCGAGGTGGGGGGCATGGGGGGGGGGGGGTGCCAGGGGTATGGGGGCATGCAGGCACCGCCCCGGTGCAAGGGGCACACCGGAATCAACGGCAGTACAGGCACAGGGGGGCATCACCCCAGTACGGGGACATGTGGACATCACGGTGGCACTGGGGCACGTGGGTGTCCCCAGGGTACGGGGCCAGGGGGCATCACCCCTTGGCCAGGGATGGCTGAGGGAGGTGGAGACATGCTGTAAGAGCCTCGCACTGCACGGGGGGGGGGGGTCACCCAGGGACCCCACGGGTGGGCTGTGCACACTGGGGTCCGTGCCTGCTGCGATCGCTCTCCATGGCTCCAGCTGCAGTGGGAACAGGGCACTGGTCTCCAGTGGGGCAGAGGAGCTGCGGGGTGGTGCCCCACCACCCCTGGGGCCTCTCGGTGCCCTCAGAGAGGTGGTGGGGGCTCTGCTAATGTGACATTCACCTTGCACAGATACACAAGGGGTACCTCGATGACCCCCGCAACACGGATAACGCCTGGGTCGAGACGGTTGCCGTCAGCGTGCACTTTGACAACCAGAACGATGTGGAGATGAAGCGGCTGAATTCGGTATGGGTGTCTCGCCTCCGCGGCTCCCTGACCCAGCTCTCAGCAGGCATGGGGCAGGGGAGCCACATCCCCAGCCCCAGATCCCACCCGCATCAGGAGTGGGCTTCTCCAGCCGCATGCAGTGAAGGAAGAACATGGGGATGAACACGGGGTGGCATTGCGAGGTGGTGGGGTGGAGGGGGGCCCAAAAAGAAAAGGCAAGAGGCCGAGGAATAGAGGTGCTGCTGAGCACGGCTGGCACAGCCCCTCACCAGCAGCCTGTACGTGATGTCTCTGGTCCCCTTCCAGTTCCTTCAGGGCTGCGACCCAGAGCTGTGCATCCGCTGGCAGGTGCTGGACAAGAGGATCCCCCTCCATGCCAACCACAAGGAGCTCCTGCACAAGGTCTCAACCCTCCTCGGCGCCTACTACTGAGTCCTCAAGTGCAGGCCAGGGCTTCTGCTGCCCCAGACCAGATTCTGGTTGGGACCTGCAAGCGCTCCCCCAGCTCACCATGGGCACTTACTGGAGACTGGGTGCTTTGGTTGCCTCCATGAACGTACACTGCAGGTCTCTGGGAGGAAAACTGTCCCCTCCCCACCAGCCTGGGGCAAGGGCTGTCTGGGCAGTGCCCACACAGCATCCTGGTCACCTGAGCCACCAAGCTCAGCCCCAGCTCGTGTTTTGGTGCTTCCACATCAGCTACAGCACTAGCCCAGGGCTTGGGCCAAGCAGAGCCACAGGGCTGTTCCTGCAAGGTGTCACCTCGCTCAGCACCCACCTGCTCTTCGCTTCGGTGTGGGCACTGGGGGCTTGCCAGCTCCAGCTCCCCCTCCACCCAGGCTATGCATCAGGCATCTCTGCTCCCCTGCTCCTGCTCTGAGCCCTGGCAGCCCCACCGCCACAGCTCCTGGAGGATTGCTCTGGAGAAGGCTCGGGCTCCTTTGCGCCTAAAGGCCCTGACTGCCCTGCAAGTGGCTCCCGTGGCAGCTCTCCCCGTAGCTCTGGTTGCCTCAGACCCCACAGCACGGTCCTGAGCTGTGAGCCAGCACATCTGACGGCGTGAGCAGCTTTTGGCTTCTACGCCTGTGGTTTCATAGCTGCGCACGGGCCCGCCTGCCGTGTCCCATGCTGTTATGTGATCCTCTGTGTCTATGCTGGGCACCACTTTGTACCTGAACTCCTTCCCTCTCTCTGAGCCAAGGCACCAGCTGAATGTCGCCTGCCCGCTCGCATCCCCTTGGGCACGTGGATGGAAAGGGGCAGCTTGCCGGGACTGAGGTCGTTTGTGCTCGGTGGTCTCTTGGGCAAGCAGGCACAGGAGAGAGGACATCAGTTTGTCCATCCCAGACATCTCTGTTCTTAAGGGGTCCTTCAGTCACCTTTTCTGTTGCCTGCCATGGGGACAGTAAGGCACAGCAGAGACATTTCTCGGTAGTCCAGAACAACTCCCATGGTGACATATTATGCCTGGGACTGCTCAGGGAGGGATTGAGTTTCACCCTCTTTCCCCATGGCTCAGACACCGGTCAGCCAGGGCTGTTCTTCCCACACTGGTAGCTACCACAGCACGACTGGAGTTTCACCAGTGATGCACCAGGGCTTGGAGAGGGGGAGTCAGGCTGGCAATTTAGTCAACCCAGCTCAATAAACCATGTATTAAATAACTAAAGGCTGGTGGTCTGTTGCGACTGTTTAACCAGTGGCCGATCCTGGAGGCCACGTGCGGAGAGCCCTTCCAGGAGCCTTCCCACCCCTAATCTTGTTGCCCAAACTCACTTTGCTGGCAGACTTGCCTCCCCGCCCCCCCCCCCCCCCCCGCCGGTGCTGGCTGCAGAGATGACTTGACATGTTTGGAGGCAGTGTGAGGAGCTGCTGGAAAGCCAGCTGCGTGCCAAGGCGGTGGCACAGTACCTTGCTCTTGGCCCGATCCGCGCCTGCTTGTGGTCTCCCATCACCGTCCTCCCCCGGGAGCCAGCACAGGCACGGGTGGGGGAGTGGGGGGGGGGGGGGGGGCGGCAGGCCCTGGGGGCTGGCTGGGGAGGGAAGAGGCGGTCGTGGGTGAGAAAGCTTCGAGACCCGCCAACCCCGAGCGGCGACCACCGCCTCGAAGGAAAAGGCTGAACCCTCATTTAGCGTCACTCAATCACAGCGCCAAAGGGCTCCGCGCCGCCGCCACTCGCCCCCCCCCCCCCCCCCCCCCGCCTCCCTCCCCTGCCCCTGCTGCCTGGGGGTCCCCAGCGCCCTGCTCCAGCGAGCTCCGTGCTCAGGGCACCCCCCGGCTCCCCCCCCAAAATCCCTCCCGCTCCGCACCGCCCCTGCAGCGCCGGGACCCGCCCGCCCCCCGGGGGCTCCGGCGGCGGCAACAGGTCGGTCCGGCGCTTCTCCCGCTGCCGGCGCCGGAGCCCGATCGCGGCCGAACCGCCGCGTCCCCGCAGCCGCAACCGGAGCGGAGCCGCCCCGGATCGAGCCGGTAAGGAATGAACCCCCCGCTCCGGGACTCGGTGCTGCTGCGCGGAGCCCGGCGGGGTCCCGGATCCCCAAGGAAGGTCGGGCTGCCCCGACCCCCGGGCCGGGGCGTGAGCGCGGGTGGGGGCTGAGCATCACCCCCCCACCCCCACCCTCCCACCCCCCCCACGCACGCCGGGGTCCGGCCGGGGCCCCTCAGAGCCCTCCCAGGGCCCGGAGCAGGCTCGGGCGGGCGGTGGGGGAACTGGCATGGCAAAGTGCACCCCCGGAGGGAGTGGGCTGGCAGACCCCGGTAGCGGTTGTAAGGCCGGAGGGATTGCCAGGCGGGGCGACTTAATTTCCCCTGGAAGAGTCCACTGCACGCTCCCACGCCCCCGGGCAGGGCCACGGGCAGCATCCCTCAGGTGTGAGCACCCCCCGGGTGGTACCCTGAGGATGCTCATACCTGAGAGATGCTGGTACTTTAAGGATGCTGTTACCAGGGGGGATGTCATTATCAGAAGGATGCTGAGTGGTAACTACTCGGTTCCAGCTGTATTCTCCTAGTGAGATCACCGTGGACAATCTCACTCCCGGGTGAAAGGCTCCCTGGGCCTGCCAGGGTCCCAGCCCCGCCCCCCCCCCCCAACTTTCCCCTCCATGGGGATCTCTTCCCCCCAGCCTGACCACGGCAGCAGGAGAGGTGTGAGTCGCACCAAAGGGCAGATGAAAGAAGGCCCACCTGCTTCACCTCCTGCCTCATCCCCAGCGGGGCCGGGGTGGCCCTTGGGGGTTCCCAGATCACCCCCTTCACTGTGATAGTCGGTGGGTCCAGCTCCCGGAGTCGGGCTGTCGAACCATACTCTGTGTTTACTTTAAAAAACAAAGTCGCCTCCAAATGCTTGCTTTGGCAAAACTGTTGGAAACGTGACTTGTACCAGCTCAGGGACCAAATGGGAAAAGCAAAAGAACTCCACATCTTGTTATTTAAAAACCCGGTGGTGATTAAGCCAGTCTGATGATCCGGGGAGTCTGACTCATCATTTTTTTTTTTAACACTCAGGGTTGGTGAGATAGGAATTTACTGTTGCTGTTCTCCAGCAGCAAATCACCGCATCCCACATGGAAATTGGCAGCAGACTGGGGCAGAGGCTCCTGGGCCGTGCCTGTCTCATCACCCCCATCCAGCAGCACCCCTTGGCTGCCTGGGTGCCGAAATGGGGGGGGGTGGGGGTGGGGGAGGGTTTTTAATCTCTGCAGCTCTATGTCCAGGTATAAGTAATCTTAAATCAAATTAAGCCATCCTGGAAAAGATGGTAGCCGGTATCATTCTGCCCTTGTTTCCTGGGCTCCAGAGCCCAGCCTCTCGCCGCTTTGCCAGGGCATGTTACACAAGATGTAAGCAACATTCCAGGAACCAGGAACTAACGTTGTGTCCTATCCCTTCCACCCACCACTCTCCTCCAGCGATGGCAGAGGCTTTGCCGGCGCGCAGAGGAGCCGCCCTGCTGCCCCGGAGCTGCTGCAGCCACCGGGGAATCGCCAGCAGCCCTGCCGAGCTGCCTGGGTGCAAGATGACCCTCACCACCACGCCAGCAGCCAGCATCACCCAGGCTTGCTTTTGCCTCCTGCTGTGCGTCCCCTGGGGCAGCTCCTGCCCACCGAGCTGCCAGTGCACGGAGAGGGCAGGGGCGAAGGCCGTCCTCTGCAGCTCCCGGCACTTGGAGGAGATCCCCAAGGACATCCCCAGAGACGCGGTGTTCCTCAAGCTGGATGCTAACAGCATCACCAGGATCCCCAGCAATGCCTTCAGGCACCTCTCCCACCTGGAGGAACTCGATCTCTCCAGAAATGCCATTGAGAAGATCGACAGGGCGGCTTTCAAAGGGGTGGCTGCCGGGCTGCGTACCCTCGACCTCTCCAGCAACCGCATCCGCAGCGTCCCCAAAGAAGCCTTGCTGGCGCTCAACGCCAAGCTCCGGCTGGCCAACAACCCCTGGCACTGCGAGTGTGCCTTGCAGGAGGTGCTGTGGGAGGCACGGCTGGACCCCGACTCCGTCCAGGACATCACCTGCCACACGGCCCCGCGCGAGGAGTACGTGGGCAAGCCGCTGCTCCAGGTCCTGGATGCCGGCGTCAACTTCTGCAGCGTGCGCCAGCGGACCACGGACGTGGCCATGTTCATCACCATGTTCGCCTGGTTTGCCATGGTCATCGTCTATGTGATCTGCTACGTCCGGCACAATCGAGAGGACACTTGCAAGCACGTGGATTACCTGAAGTCGCTGCCGAGCGCCCAGGGCCGTGCAGAAACCACCAGCACCGCCTTGTAGCGCAGGATTGGGGCGCCCTGTTCCCAGCTTCTTCGCAGGGAGCCGGGTGACGACCCGGTGGGTTTCAAAGCTTCTCTGTGGGATTTTTCCAGTGCTTGCTCCGGTCCTGCAAACGAGCGCCACTGACTTTGCCCGTCCCCAGAGACGCTGGACTGAGCGTGAGCAAACGAGAGGGGGGAGGGATGCCGGGTACACCCCAGATTCCCAGGGAGGAACCCCCCCACCCCACGCAGACCCCTTCTCCCCTGCCAGAGCTGGGCTCGCAGGGAAAGCAGCCCCAGCCACAAGCTCGCAGTCCATCTGGTTTGGAGAGAACAAGGCCCTGGGGGGATACAGATGAGGGCGAGGGCTTTTGTGGGGCCAAGAGGTCCCCCCATCCTCGCTTCGGTGAGGGACCGGCCTCGCAGAGAGCAGGACACCCACCCCAGCCCCTACGCGGCACCTCGGCAGCCTCTGCCTGCTGCCACCAACCCAGGGGTGATCTCCCAAACCTCTGATTTCTCAATAAAGCTCCGCACACAGGAAAAACCCTCAGGGTTTGTGCTGCACTGGGAGCCGGGCGTCTGGGGAGGGCAGCGGCGCTCGAGGTGGGTTGCGCTTGTCCTAATTCAATCTTTCCCAAAGCAGACAACCCTCAAGTCAATGTACCAGCTCGACTCCCATTAGATTACATCCCCTCCACCCTCACCCCCACCTGCCTTGAGCAGGGGTCGGCCAGCCAAATAGTGCCTCTGCATCTCATCTGGTACATCTCCACCTCATCTCACCCTTCCTTGGGGCTGAATTAGAGACGCTGCTCGTGGCTCGGCATGACGGGAGACAATCAAGTTCTGCCTTGTTTCACAAGCAAGAAACGGTGCTTCCCGGCAGAGCCAGCTGCAGCCACGGCTGGGCTGGGGGAGGAAGGAGAGCTGCAGAGACTGCCCGAGGCAACTGAGCCCCCCCAGCCCCTTTTTGGGGGGCTGGCACCTCCTGTGGGCTGCAAAGCACCAGGGTGGGTAGCCCAGCCCCACAGGAAACCCACGGCCGGAGGCGGCTGAGCAATTCCCTGGGCCGGTCAGGAAAGGCAGAGGGGTACCCTCACCCCAGCACGGCGCTGTGCTCGGGGCCCCCTCATCCTCACAGGACACCTGTGGCCACGGACGTGGCCCCATCTCACTCGGGGGTGGCTTGCTGAGTGGAGGGAAGCCTCTGCCAAGGGCAGAGCAGCTCAGGTACCTGCAGCTTGCGCGCGGGATGAAGGCTGGGTGCACACAGTTTATTAGAGCTCTGGTTAAGCAAAGGAGTCTCCCGGACAAAGGCGAGGAAAAGAAAAGAGGCCACACTGTCACCTGGAGCAGTTTGGAGTCTTTCCCATGCCCACGGTAGCTGGATTGTTCCCAATGCACAGCAGGTTTGCCCGGGAGTTTCTAGCCTCATGCAAAGAGGCCAGCATCGGTCCGTGTACACACCTATGGATTTGTACAGTATACACGTCACTCGGTGAGGATGACCAATGCCAGCCACGGTGGAGCGGGAGGAGGAGCAGGCACCCGCATCAGTGGGACGGGGTGGTGAGGCCACCAAAGACAGACACGAAATAATGGTGTGCAACGTCAGACCAGGTGGGTCCTCAGCGGCATCGCAGCCCCAGGCACTGGGCAGCCAGAGCCAAGCCCGAAGCCAACTTTTCCCCCAATTTCTCACACGCCATCTCCTCCCCACTGCTCTGCACCCACCCCGGCAGCACACGCCTCGCTCAGTCTCTTTCTTCCCTGGCTTTGTGCGAGCTCTGGCCACAACCAACAGCAGCTCTGGGTCCCTCCTGGATGGAGACTACCAAGCTCTGGGGTCCCGGCGAGCCCGGGGAAGCGCCTGGGCACCAGGCACCCTGCGTGGGACATGGCTCTGGAATGTGGCAGGAGAGCTTGCCCAGGAGAAACAGCACCAAAGCAGGGTCACAGCCCCTTTTCCAGCCCCCGGCCAAGGCTGCAGGGAGCTCCCCTCTTCCTCCTCCCCCTCCTGCGGAGCGCACAGTCAGACAGCTGCAGGGCTGACGCCGTGGCCACCCCTGGGCACTGTGATCCATCTTCACCTCGATGCCCGGCTTGCCCCCGTCCTGGCAATGAGCTGAGCGTGTCTCAGCCACCTCAGGTAGTTTTCAGCTTGAGCACCTTGGAAAGTGGCTCCTTGGCGCTGGAGTAGAGGAGGTAGGAGCCCTCGGCAGTGTGAAACGCCTCCCAGTCTCTACAGCCGATGGTGGGGAGGCGGTGAGCCGCTACGAAGCCTTCATAGCCTTGCCACCTGCACGAGGAAGGCAGTTAGCTTTCGGGGCACAAGCTGGGCACCTGGCAGTGGGATGGAAAGCCGAGCCGTGGGGCTGGCATCTCCCACCTCCCCGCTGTGGTTCAGGGTGGGATGTCCCTCACTGGGGCTTCTCATTCCTGCCCGGAAACCTCTCCCGAAACAGGGAGCAGTCCTGTCTGTCTTCCTTGGGCAGATGCACCAGCATCCGCAGGGGTTGCCCCCGTGCTGGGCTCCCGGCAGGGTCGCTCCTGCTGGGAACAACCCCCCCAACCCCCCCAACCCTGCTGTCCTCCCACAGCAGTACCTGTAGATAATACTGTTAACGGAGAAGGTGAAGCCATCGAAGGAGTTTGCTACCACCAGAAAAGAGTCATCTCCCACTGAGAAGAACTCCCAGTCCAGGGCACTGGGGATGAAGCAAGCAGAGGGGCAGGTGAGGTGGCCCCTCCGTGGCCAGCCGATGAAGGGGCTGTGTGTCTGCAGGGCTGAGCCCACCCCACATCAATCTCTGCCACCCTGACAGTGCATGGAAAAGCCTGCTCTTCCCAGGCTGTTCCTGAAAGGAAATCCACCCTTGTTCCCAAAATGCGAGCCTTCTCCTAGCTCCCACTGGGATTTGGTGCCAAGGAGCTGTTACCCCTTGCCCACCCTACCAGTCTCAGCCTCTGGTAGCGTGCAAGCCTGCACGAACCCTCCTGGAGACCTCCAGGTTGCTCAGGGGAAGGACAGTGGATTGAGGAGCACCCTGACTCTTTGTACAGATTTTGTACAGGTACCTGTAGGTGAGGACGTCCTGGAATTTGACAAACATCTGGGCAGTGATGTTCAGCTCATAGATGGAGGAGTTGATGGCGTAGAAGTTAGAGGGTGCTGGCATCCCGCTGTCATAGCTGTGGCTGTTTGCAACAGCCAGGAAGACTCTGTCCCCGATATGAAAGACCTCCCAGTCAGCAGCACCGAAAGTCTGTGGGGAAGGAAGCCACGTGAGAAGCTGGATGTGAATAAGCCTTTGCAAGTCATGGATGCTGTGAGGTGAGGGGGGACCTGCTGGAGGCGCAGCGGGGAAGTTACCCACTCCTAAACCCCTCCAAGTCAAAAAATAAACCTCACTCCACCAAACCCTAAGGGAGAATCAGTGGGAAACTATCGCTACCTTTCCAGAGGACTGAAGAGCATCTGTGTCCGCAATTATTCCCTGGCTTGTCTAAACCCAGAGAGGGGACCGAGGAGTAGAGTTTGATCAGTGGCCAAGCCTTACCAGGATAGACTGGAAGAGCTGGAAAGAGCCACTGAGCCAGATATAGATGTGCGAGTAGATCTTAGTGGATGTCCCATTGAACGTGTTAGCCACCGCCAGGAAGGAATACGGCCCGATGGTGAAGAATTCCCAGTCATAGGCTCCAGACGTAGGGATGGTCTGGTTGGTTTCAAACAACCCCGTCCTGGGGTTCCACCTGTATATCACGCTGTCTATGTTGTGGTTATTCCCTGGGGAAGACAGACAGGCAGAAGTGCACTGTGAGGAAAAGGAATGCTTGGCTCGCTTAAGAAACAAGACCCAGGAAGAGGTTCAGCTGGGCAAACATTTGCCAGCAGGTTGCAAAGCTGTTTGCTAGTGGCCGGTTGCTCCCCAAGAAGCAGCCGGAGAGACTCGAGGGCCTCCATCCCCATGGAACACGCTGGCGGCTTGTTCCCGAGTGCACGGCGGCAGCTTTGCGGCAGCCCCTGGCGGAGGAGGGACAGGAGGGTGCCGTGTCCCCGCGCGAGCGGCACACCGGAGGCACGGTGCCAGTGTCCCAGGGCGGCCGTGCACAGCGGGGCCGGTCCCAGCCGCGTCCCTCAGCTCCCGACCCCGGGGGCTGCCACCGCCCTTGGCGCACACACACAAGCTCACACATCTGGGAGGGGGCCACAGCTGGAATGGCACCGCACCGGCATTCCCCGGTGCTCCGTCGGTAAGTCCCCGTGCTCAGCCTCTGGGGGCTGGAGCTGGCCGGGGACCCTCATGTGCCAATCCCCACTGGTGACACGAACTCCAGAAGAGAGGGAGGGGACGCCACAGCCCGCAGCCTGCCCCGAGCTGAGCACTCAGGCTAAGCCCGCCAGCACCAAAGCGCATGTTCCATCCAGCTCCTAGGCTCCGTTCAAGCTTCCCAATCTCCTCTCTGGGGGGGTCCCAGCTGGCTTTAAAGCTAAAAACCTTCCTGCGCCTTCAGCCTGGCATGACCCTTCCAGCCAGAGACATTCTTCTAATAAAGAGCTGGCTTCATCGGGACGGGAGGGGAGCACCGCCAGCCCCTTTCCACCCCACGCTCACTAAACACTGCCGCACTTGGCTTGGCCCCAGTGGTGTTTCTGGTGGCTGAGCAGCAGCAGGACCATGTGTTAAGGGGCTTATGGAAAATCCTCACTGCAACAGAAGCGACTTTGGCAAGAAGGGCTGTGGGGAGAAAAGGGGGGGCTAGGCGATCTTCCACCAGCTTTGAGCCTGGTGCCGGAGGAGCTGATGCCGCAGGAGTCAGCCCTGACCGGCAGGGAAGTTGCCCACCAGCCCAGAGTCTGAGCCCAGCTGGGAGCATCCCGGCGAGCCAGGGACCCGTTCATCCCCTGGGCTGAGGGGTGCGCACCCCAGCCCACAGAACCTCATGGGCTGGGAGGGAGAATGAGACTGGATCACGTCTGCAGGGTGCCCAGGGAGGGACGTCAGAAGGCTCCCACTCGGCTTCCCTCGGTTTCCTGCGTGCCCACAAGGCCAAGGCTTTGGCTTCTTAAAAGGTTCGACCCCCTGCAAACCCCTGCAGCTGCTCTCCCCACCCCACCATGTTATGGTAGCGTTGGGGAAACAAATGAAAAGAAGCAGGGAGATTCAGCAGAGATGTCATCCCCACTCCTTGTGCCTCGCAGTCAGAAAGAAACCTGGAGGGGGACCATGTCAGCCACTTCCCTGAGTGCTTTTCTCTCCTAAAATGAGAGGATCTGCAAGGGTTTGGGCTCCCTGAGGGACACTGCACCCCGAGCTGTGCGCACGGACTCCCTGGTTTTGCCCTGCGCTCCAGCAGAGGATGCGCGGGGAGCAGGGAGCTGCAGTGTTTCCAGGGCAATGGGAGGATGCTCTGGAGCAGGGTGCTGGGGTCCCTGGCATCCCCCCACGGCAGCCTGCCCCTGCTGAGCGGGGATGGTAGGGAATACAAGGGCTGGGTACCTTCTCTGTGGTTGACCACTGCGAGGAAAGCCTCTCCCTCAATGACAAATGCCTCCCAGTCCCTAGCGCTGTGCGTGGTGATCCTCTGGTACGTGATGAATTTCTCTTTCCTGCGGCTCCACTTGTATATTACAGAGAACTCCTGACCCCTGTCATTCTGCTCAAAATTAGCCACTGCTAGGAAGATCTGAAAAATAACAAGCCAGGACATCTTGGTTTTCTCCTCGCAACGTGGCGCGGACAAGCACGGGCAGGGTGAAGATGGGATGGGTGGGGATGCAGGGCCAGGGACCAAGGTGGCTGGTGTGGGGTCGGACAGCCCTGGCAGGCAGGGGACCCCGAGCAGCCCCCGAGGAGCACAGTGCACCCAAAGTAGGGACGGGGGGGGGTGTCTTTGTGGCTGGCAGCAGTGGTGCCCGCTGCCCCCAGAGCCAGGTTGGGGACAGAACGGGCAGCCACAGCCTCGGAGCCAAGCGGAGGGAGAGCCGTGCTGCGGCTGCTCGCAAGGGAGCACAGCGCTGCTGCCAAAACAGGCTGGGGAGGGAGGGTGGGGGGGTCCGAGCTACCAAACCTGCTCCAAAAGGAAAGGCTGTTCAGAAGTAAAATTGCAGCTATCATAATGATAGCAACAATGATAACGATTCCCTGAGACAAAACACTTTCCAGACTCGCTGCAAACATCAGGGACAAGCGTGCAGCAGCAGAGGTGGACTTGTGCAAGGTAGGGAGTGCACCCAAGCTCGTGGGAGTGCGCGGTGTGGCACGCTGGCTTCGCCACTCGGGTGTGTTTGGTGTGGAGTGGAAGAGGTACCCCCCCCAGTTTGGTCCGCAAAGAAGCACCGAGACAAAGCCCACAAGCAGAAGAGGGTCACTGGGAGCGGTCTGCCGCCTTCTGCCCAGCCCAGGACCCTGCCAACACCAGCTTGGGGGTTTTGTGCAGCCAAGGCTCAGCCACCCCCCCGGGCCAGAGACCGTCCACCCGCAGCGGAGGCCTGTGCTGGGTCTGCACATCCTTCCAGGGAAGGTGCATCCCCAGCGCTGGGCACCTCTCCCTGCAAATCCCCGGAGTCCCTTCGGGGCAGCTCCAGAAACACGGCTTCAGAGGGATGAGAAAAGCCTGGAACCAACCCCACAACTCAGGAGCCTGCCCTCCCTTGCTCTCCATGGACAGAGCCCACCAGCAGATCCCAACATTGCCCTCCGGGGTTCTTCCCCCCCATCCTGGCAGAGCAGTCCAAGCGCACTAACGAGGCGCTGCTGGCGCCTCCAGAAGCGCATCCCACCTGCAACGCCCGCGAGGTACCCGGGCGAACTGGAGAGACCCGTGCTGCTGCTGGTGCCACACCTAATCTGGCCAACATATCCCTGCAGAAACATGCCAAGCACGGGCAGCGGCATGCAGGGCACCCGCCGAAGTCCCCAGCAGTTCTTGGAGCACCAAGGCTAACCCCACCTAGAACACCTGCCCCAAACCGTGCGGGAGAGAGGCCTTCCTGCCGAGGAAATCTGAGGAAGTTTTTCTCAGTGAGGACCTGAAGGCAAACCCAGAGCACGTCAGCCTCGGTGAGCACCAGCACGGGTGCTTCGTTGTGTAGGAACCATGGGGAGTCGGGATGCCCCAGCTTGGTGGTCTTTGCCCCCACAGCTGCCGCTGCAAGGGGGTGTCGTGGGTCCCGATTAACACTGGGGAGTCTCAGGGTGGTTCCCACCAGCGGATAAACCCAGCTGAGGATGTTCCCATCTCCTGCCCGTGAGGGTGCAGCCGGAGCTTTGCAGAGCAGGGGCAGCACTGGGGATGGCAGGCGTGCTCCCGGCCCAAAGGCAGCTTTGCAGCACGGCTGCATGTTCAGGGCTTGACCAGGTTTTCTGCAGGAAAGGTGCTGTCAGCCAGGTAACAGGGGATGTGGCCCATATGTATCCAAACAAGCAGGGCTGTCGGTGCCACCAAGCCTGGAGGCAGGACCTTCTGCCCACCCCTCTGTACCCTGCAGCACGTTGGCTCGATGGGGGACCCCTGCAGCCACCCTGTGTGGCAGCTGGTGACAAAGCCAGAACAAGCCACAGCTGGCGGGGGGGGAATGATCCCAACTCCCCTGGGAGCTCTGCACAGAGCTGGCTCTCAGCAGACGGTTGCTCAGCTTGCTCGGGGCTCCTTGCAAAATGGGAAGCAGCTCTCCAGCGAGAGGAACTAGGCAGATACTCTACGAAAGTCCCCTGGCAGATTGCCCAGGGGAGGAGAGATGGCTCCAAAGTCCTGGCGTGATTTAAAAGCAAAAGGACTTAAAAATGCGCAAGGTTGCACTCAGCAGGTCTCGGGAGGGAGCTACGGGCTCCGATGGCTCCCTAAGACCACAGGTAGATCTCTGAGACCAGACTGGACCTTACGCACGGCAGGATGTCCACCACGGTCAGAGCTCAAGGAGGGCTTTGCTCTCTCTGCTCCCACGTTAGGAGCTGCGTATCCCTGAGAGCGATGCCGCAACCGCTGCCTGGGGTGATGCCTGCCTCGCTTCACGGTGCCGGGTGGGAACTGCAGCAAAACCTGCTTCCCGGGGGGGGGGGGGGGGGATGTCAGCCTTGGCGCCTGGGTGGAGGCGGCTCTGCGAGCACAGCCAGACCAGGCTGGGCCCCAGCTCTGCACAAGGGTCATTTTGACACTGGCACTCGCTACAGCTGAGGCAGGAACAGGCAGAGCCTGCTAGAAATGAACCCCAGTGCATGGGGGGCGGATCCAGCTCCAACAGCTGGCTTTGGAGGCTGACCTCACAGACGTCCTGGAGATCGCCAGGGAAGAGATCTGAGCACCCCGGACATGCGATTACCTAGGCTGCCAGCATCAGTCGCTGAAAATGGCCTGGGTGGGAGTAGTTGTGTCTCAGCAAAAGGAGTAAAACACAGAGGGCAGCCCACCCGATCAGCTGGCAGTCCCTAGGACAGACCTTTACCAGCTGAATACATGTATCAGCATGACCCCATCAAAGACAGAAGAGAGAAAGAATCACCTCTTAAACCACGCCTGAGACTCAGGGCTTCAGAGGAGAAGCCAGTGTCGGGCAATTGGAGTTTAACATCCTGAAATATGAAGGCACTGAAATAACCTTCTGGGCAGACTTACCTTCTTTCCTATGGTGAAATACTTCCAGGACTGAGCTTGGTAGGTGGGGATGTTCTGGTAGGGCACAAACTTCCCATCGGTCCACTTATAGATGGCTGATCCCGGCAGGGTGTACCGGTTGGCAGTGGCTGCGAACAGCCCCACCTTTGGGATGGTGAAGACCTCAACACCCATTGTCTCAGAGTTGGTCACCAGGTTCTGGTACTCCTCCACATAGTCCAGCCTTTGCTTGACTAGGAGATCACAAAAAAAAAAAAGAGGGGTGAGGTTACAACCTGATGACCTTGACTGGAGAGGTTCCGCCCCCCCTTGCACAGCAGAGCTGGCTCGGCAGTGCTTGTTGCTGTATGGAGCTTTACTGGGGGAAAAATGAAGGTCCTGGTGTCGCGGGTGGTGAAAGGCCAAAACCCAAGTGGGTGGTGACTCCATCTCACTGAGCAGCACGTCCAGCCCCCTCCACCCCTGCCTTTTCTCCAGTGGAGAGAGAGCAAGGCTGCAAAATGCTCTTCCAGGCACTCTCCTCCGGGAGCGGGGAAGAACAACATGCCACGGATTCTGATTGCTTCTTACGAAGTGGGTTGATTCTAAAGATCACCAGGAGGAGAGGAACAGACCTACAGCGAAAGGGCCTGGGCTGCTGAGACCAGCTGGGTTAACCCACATCCACCCGTGGCAGCCCTGCACCAGATGTTTCCCCTGTTGCTCTGCTTTTCACCTTGTTGCTCCAACGTTGCCCCGCTATTTTCTGCACAAAGGCCACCAGAGCTGGGACAACACGGAGACCTGCCTCCGCCACCCTCCGATTGCTCCCTCTTGTATTTCTGGCAGCTGATGAGTCTTTCTGCTCCTTCTCGTCCACTCCGCAAGCACTTGGGCACCGGGAGCATCCGTGCCTTTGGGACCCCCCACGTCAGGGAGCACCCCAGCACCCGAGGCACAGCTCTCCGGGGGTGAGCTGTCCCACTCAGACAGACCAGGAGCTCATTCCTGGCAGGAGAAGCCCCAGTAGGGATGGACAACATGGATAAGGGCAACATGGGCACTGTGCGAGTGATCGGGGGAGCTGGCACCTGAATCCAGAGCTGCACTGGAAGTGTCGGTGTGGGCACCAAGAGCAAAGCAAAGCCTGACCAAGCAGTGGAGAGGCAGGGGGACACCCCAGCCCCCCTCATTCCGCTGTTGGCTGAATTGCTTCCCACCCCAAAGTGCTGTCAAGGGCAAATCCTTGCTCCTCCTCTGCTTCAAGAGCCTCCCTCCATCCCCGAGAGCGCATTGCACACCGGTACCTTCCAGCATGGAAATCCAGGCGCTGCCGTTGCAGAGGTACAGCCCTCGCTGGGAGGCGTTGAACCAGAACTGTGCCTTCTCCTGCTTGGTGCAGGGTGGACGGGACCCCAGGGTCACCTTCGTGTCAGTCTCTGGGCACAGAGAGGAGCAAGGCAGGTGCCTCTTAGCGCACACGATGGAGGAGCAGTGAGGCTCGTCCCCGTGCCCACGGAGGGTTGGATGTCCCGGTCCCATCCTGATGACGGGCATCAGGAAAGAGGGGAAATAGCATCCCAGCCCTGAGTCGGGACGTCACCCTGGGGGTTGGCACCCGTGGGGCTACTGGCACGAGCCCAGCACTGCCAAGGGACCCGGGCAGGGGCACCCCGGATCTCCAGGGGGGTTTTGGACAGGGATCCCCCCCCCACACACACACGTTGAGAAACAGAGGGTGCTGGGGACACTCTCTTCCCGGCCCACTCCTGCTCTGTGCCCAGCCCCACGCAAAGACCCTCCCTCAACAAACATGGAAGGTGGCCAACCGAGCCCAGCGCCGCGGGGAGTTACTGACCGTAGGGGTATTTTAGCACCTCGTTGCTTGCTGGCTTTGTGGGGAGATCCTGGAGGACAGGGGGGACAGAGAGCGTCGCTACTTTGAAGTTCATGGCTGTGCATATCCGAGGGGTGGCATCGGCTCCCGGCAGCAGGACGAGCTGTCTCAGCAAGCCCTGGGAAAGCGGTAGCAGCAGGATGGCGAACGAGTCCAGCAAGGGAACTGCAGGGGATCCGTGCCCTGGATTTCCCTCCCGACTCCTGCTCATTGCCCTCCCTCCTGGGCTGTGGAAGCTTCCATGGGATTCACGCACATTTATCAGATCCTCATCACAGGCCCAGCCTGCCAAAATCTTCATCTCGGGCAATTTAATGGCTGGGGCAAGGGGGAGCATTGGCGAGGGACTCGTTAGCTGCAGCCGGCTTTCACCGCCTCTGCTTTTCACTACTGGTCAGGGTCAGGCACTGCCCTAACTTTTATAACAATGAGGCTGCCCCGTCGACTGTCTTTCTGTCACCGCACAAGAGGCAACATCCTCTTAAAAAACACCCTTGTCCCACAAAGTGCCAGTCACTAGCACTGCCCCTTGCGTGCCCCCAGCTGGATGGGGACTGAGCCTGGCAGCGGGACTCCCGGCCACCTCCGCTGCCCGTGCCGTGGCCTAAAGCCCTTCCAGTGCAGGGGGGCTGAGAGGGGGCCGCAGCTCGCCCCACGGCCAGCCGCGAGCACCGCGGGGGGCACCTACCGTGAACACGCCTTTCCTTCTCCTCCTGTTGCCCAGGTAGAAGCTGGCTCTCTTCACCGACAGAGAGGCTGGGAAGGGCGTCTCCACCACCCTGCGGACGGGCAGAGAAAAGGCAGGGGGGACAATTTTGCGGCCTCTACTGCTGGCTGGAGGAGACGCTGGTGGAGGAGCATCGCCCTGCCAGGGAACCGGCACCTCCACGCAGCCCTCCCGAGCCCCCCCCGTCACCACCGCCCCCAACCTACACATCCTTGGGGACGCTGCAGTCCACCGTCAGCGAGAAGGACTGGCCCGAAACGGCCAGGATGAGCGTGTGCCACTGGCTGTCGGCGAGGGAGACGTTGGGGAAGGTGACACGGGTCTGCCAGCCGCCGGCGCGCTCCTGGCTCCAGAAGAGGAAGTGGAGCTTGTTGGGGGCGTAGCGCAGCCCCACCAGCACGCTGGGGCTCTCCTCCGCCATCAGCGTGAAGACATACTCGTTCCTCTGCGGGAGGGCACGGGACTCAAATCCACGTCGCCACGAGCCGCCGGGCCAGGCTGTGCCCGCTCGGCTCCGCGCCCGGCCGGCAGCGCTTACCTTGGCGGGGCCGCTGAGGACCCTCAGCGTGACGATGATGGAGAACTCCTCGGGGAAGCGGTCGCAGTGGATGAAGAGCCGGGAGGCGGGGAAGCCCAGGGCGCGGGGCCGGGAGGCGGCCAGCTGGAAACCTCGCACCCCCTGCGCTTGAGAGACCCTCACGCCGCGGGCCAGCCCGCCGGCGGGGGCCACCTCCGAGAGGATGTCCAGCGGGCGCAGGTCTGTGCCAAGAGACGGCGGAGCCCGTCACGGTGGCGGCAGCCGTCCCGCCCTGCCCCGCTGTGGGATGGGGTCCCCACCTGGCAGCGGGGTGCTCGGCCGCCCGCCTTGCTCAAGGCAGCCGGCACACCTCCGGCGCTGGCCAGAGCCTTCCGACGGTAGCAGGGGGGCCCAGCGTGCCCCGTGGCTCGCTGCCCCCTGCCTGGGGTCCGTGCCCAACCCCTGCTTTGGGGACATGGGGAAGGTTTGCTCTCCAGGCACCGAGGCTGACACCTCCATCCCCACAGCAGGAATACCGGGCGTGCAGGCTCGCCTACACTGATGTGGCTCCAAACGCTGACACCAGGGCCGGGGACCTGCTGGTCGGGCAGCCCCAAGCTGCCTCCAGCTTCCTCAGGATCCACCAGCAACAGCAACCAGAGCCCAGAGAGCAAGCAGGGATCCGGCTACCACCTCTCCCTGTCCCCAGGGCGGTGGGGCACAGCACCCCCCTGCTCCAGCCTCTCCCAACCCAGCCCTAATTGCACACATGCACCTACTCCCCCGGCAGGCACCAAAACTGTTCATTAAACCCGTGATCCTCTCTCCAGAGGAGAAACCAACGTGGGCAGCCCCAGGGCATCGCCCGGGGTGAAGGACAGCACTGAGCACAGGCACTGTAGTTGTCTCCACATAACAGTGCCGGGGTGACCGCCGGTCCCACGTCTCAAAAAGCCCCGTGCCAGCAGCCACGGAAGGGTTGTACCCGCGGTGGGTGCTTCTCCGACCTTCCCCGCCTCCGCACCCTCGCGGGTTTTGTTTTTGAATGCTTCCCTGGCAGGATTGCGGCACCTGTAGCAAAGGGCAGAGGGGCTCGATGACGATGCCCAGAGGATGAAGCAGCACTTGGTTAGACTAAAAAATCCTTGACTCTGTCCCGTCCCCAGTGAGACCAGGCTTTTAGCTCCTGTTTGAACTAATAAATCACGGCTGCTGGGGCACAGCAGGAGAGCTAGGAGGGAGGAAGCTGTGAGCAAGGCTGGGCTGGCATGCGTCTGAATCCAAACCAGCTGGAGAGGGGGAGCATTTCCCCCCAGGCACCCCCGGCCAGCCAGATGGGCAGAGAGAGGAGGAATCTGCTCCTGTGGCTCCATCCAGCCCAGAGCAGGGAGACCGGTGAGGTCCTTCCCACCGTGCCACCTCTGCACTCCCACTGCCTGCCCCTCTGCTGGCTTAAGCTGCTCCCAAAGCAAAGCCCTGAGGGGGGGGGGGGGGGTGCCGGGGGAGGTTTAACTGAGACAATTTATTTCAGAAATGCACCACCCAGGGAATGACCAGTTCCTGTTTTTCTCAGCAAAAAGCGCAAGCTGATTCAGGCTTGGATTTGCAGAGAGCTTTAGGAGCCCCCGGGGGAGCCCCTGCAGGAGGGATGCTGGGGGGGGGGGCAGTTAAATGTGCTGATGCTGGGGCCTTGACACCCCTGGAACCCCTCCAGCCAAGGCTGCTTGGGGACAGCAGGGACACCCCTGGGAAGACCAGAGATGCTGAGGGCAGGAGGTGGTGGGCAGAAACTCTCCGTTCTCTCCCAGCTTTCCTTCTTGCCATCAGCCGAGCTGTAATAAAATGTAAATACAGGCGCCCTCAACGCGGGATGGGACCCAAGCACGCGGAGCCTGGGCCCAAGCGGCCCCCAAAACTGGGCTGAAGTTTCACCGCCCGCCCAGGGACCACACAGCACGGGGATGGCGATGGGAAGGCAGAGCTGGGTAATGGGGACCCTCCTTGGCCCGGGCTGCTCTTGGCACTGCCCTGCAGGAAATGCCATCGGAGCTGCCAGCTCCTTGGCTGGGGGCGGCAGGACAGAAACTTTCCAGGAGGTTTTGCTGCTGGGAGGGTGTAGGTTGTGTCTGGCAGAGAGTGCGGGCCGGGAGGGACTTTCTGGGGGGGACTTCATGGCTCTCCTCTACTTCTCCTTCCAGCCCTTCCCCTCCCCACGTGTTGGTCCCCAAGGCTGGGAGACCTTGGGACAATGCTTGGGAGGGCCACAGCTCTCCCCACGGCACCGAGAAGGGCTGGTTGCTCCCCAGTCCCGTGCCAGACTGGGGGGGGGTGGCCGCAGACGCAGGGATGACCCCTCTCCCTGCCGCCCGTGGGTGCAGGCAGGGTGCTGCCAGCTGCAGCACCCGAGGCAGGGTGCCGTCCTCTCACCCCGCGACTCGGTCCACCGGCACCTGGGCACCGCAACCCGGGGGCTGGGCTCCGCACGGGGCACCCCGCAGCAGCCACGTGCCCCCCCCCCCCCCCCAAAAAAAAAAAAAACTCAGCACGTTTTCTGGCACCTGCCCTGGCAGCGTGGGGAACATCCCGTCGGTGGGAGCACACGAGTCGCAGCGTGTTTCCCGGCACGCCTGTCTTGACGCCTCCCTCCCCATGCCACCCGCCAGCCTTTGCTCCTACCTGTGCAGTGCTGCCACGTCCTGCCCCCCCGGATGAAGCCCCCGCTGGCGGCCCAGTGGAGGAGGGTGACCCAGAGAAGCAGCGGAGCCGACATTGGGGGGGCTGGCCTCAGGGGGTCCATCCACTGGAACCCCCCCTCGCCGTCCTCTCCTCGGTGCCCCGGCAGGCTCTGCTTGGCTCAGCCCCCCCGGGGGGGCTCTCGCATAGTCTGCCGGCACCTCAGGGACGTGCCACGCTGGGCGGCTGATGCTTCGGTGCTTCTGGGGTGTTAAGCCCCGGCTCTGCCGTCCCCTTGCGTGGGCATCGGCCCTGGGGGCACGGCAGAGGTGGCGGGTGGGGGGCCGGCGGGGGCTCCCCTGGGGCGGCCGTGGAGGCAGTGCCGCCTGCAGCCTGCACGCAGACATTTAAATGAGAAGTCGGTGGTGGGAGAGGAGGAGTCCCAGCTCCTTAGAGAGCTTTTATCTTTTGCCCAACCCTCTGGAAGGCAGCTCTGGGGAGGGATTTTTTAATCTTTTTTTTTTTTTTTTAATTTATTTTTTTCTTTGCTTCCTTTCATTTTTGGAGATTCATTTTTCCGGGGTCACACGGGAGTAGGTGGGAGATTCACCCCTGCCTGTTGAGACCAAGGTGGGAACCTTCCTACTGCTAAAAACCTTGGGCTTTCGGCAGCACAACCCCTGCCTGCACTGGGCAGAGATCCTCTGTCCCCTCCAGTCCACCCCACCCCGCCCCAAAAAAAAGCCAGACCCCACAAGGTGCATATTTCTCCCCCAAAACAACCTCGGGCTGGTGATGCCCAGCCACCAGACCCGGCCCTGCTGTGAGGATGGCGGCAGCGTGCCGAGCGTCGGTTCGGAAACCCTCGGGGTTACGCTGTTCAAATGGGAGAGTCAGCAGTGGAAAAACTCCCCGCACACAGCGAGCTCCGCCGGGTTCCTCCGGCCGCAAAACGAGTTGCTTCCATTCCCCGAACAATTGAAATTGGGCTCCCACCCTCCCCCCGTCCCCAAAGCCTTCCCGCAAGGCGAGCGCTAGAATAGAAAGCGGATGGCCAGGATGAAACGCCAAAAAAACTGTGTTGCAAACCGGGGGTTTTCTCAGCAAGGAAGAGCCGGAGCCGGACCCGCGGACGTGCCTTGCTGCCAGACTGTCCGCACCCCTTGCTGACCCAAAATCCACCACCCCGGGACCGGGAGGGTGCAGCCCATGGGGTGCAGCCCTGGGGTGGAGCGGAGCACCCTGCACTTTGGTCCTAAATCCCGAGAGGAGCGGCTACCGGAGCCGGGAGACACCCCACGCACCGTCAGTGACTCTGTCGGAGAGTCAAACAGCCCCTGAAACCTGGAGGGTGGCTGCACACGCGTCTGGAGCTCCCCTTCCCCACAAAGCACTCTCGCTGGGCATCCCCCACATTAGGGCTCTGCCAGGATCACACTTAAGCGGAGCTTAATCTCTCTCTGGAGAGAGCTGCAGAGGCGAGGCACTGCTGGCATCCCCGCGCTGGGGATGGCGCCCACGGCCACTGCCCAAACCCCGGGGGGCCCAGCTGGCAGCCACCGGCGGTGACCGTGATGGACACGGAAGGCGCAAACCTCCCCGTCTCTCCCGAACTTGTGCTGCTCCCCACGGCCTCGGGGACACCCGCCAGCACCCCAGCGGGCCCCCGCGCAGCCCTGCCCGGCGGAGAGGTCGGAAGGGAGGCCGGCGCGGCGCGGAGCCCGGCTGCTGGCAGGGCCCTGCCTCCCGGCAGGTTGGCGCTGGGTAGGGCGGCACAAATGAGAATCAGAGCCGCCGCGTTGCCCAGGGCCGCACACATGTGTCAAGTTAAGGATGGCTTTGGGAGCTGGCAGCACCGGCCCGAGCAGGGGACTCGCGCAAGCGGGCGGATTTTGGGAAGCCTCCCGCCGAGGCCGGCCCCAGCTCTGCGAGAGTCCGGGCAGCTCATGCAACTCCTGCCAGGGAGGGGGGAAAAGTCCTGCCGGGGACGCTGGGGCGACTGGTTTTTCCAAAGGGGACGGCAGCCGCTTTTGAGCGTTTCCTCGGCCAAAAAGCTGGTCAGTGGCAGGGCATCTCTGGACCCAAGGACACAGCCGCAGGTGCCCTCTCCAGCAGCAGGGGAATGCGGGGAATTCCAGGCAGGAGGCGAAGGAAATGAAGCCCCATCGATGAGCACGGAGGAGATCCCAGGCGGTCCTCAGCCCAGCACCGTGGGCTCAGGCTGCTTTTCAGCCACGCGCTGTTAATGAATGGTCTGCTGGTGAGGACGGGGATGTTGATGGTCCTCAAGGATTTTCTCCATCCTTGAACTGGGGATCCCGGCATGGCAGAGGGTGCTGCAGCAGCTTGGCCAGTCCCTGGTGCTTTTCTCCCTCCCCAGGAGGACCTGCCCATGGAACCGATCTGTGATGTGAAACAAGGAGAGGGGCCCGTCGCTGCCTGCTGACATGTAGGGTCCAGGACCTGCTCGATGTCCCAACAACAGTAGGAAGTGGTCTGCAAAATTGTTTCTAAGCACACACACACACATTCCTATGTGCACAAGCAAGCACAAGAGGATGAATTAAATGAGACAAACAGCAAGACGTTTGCCTAATTCTCATGGGTCATAAATGAAACCATGTGGCGGCTCCGAACAAAATGATCTCTGGATTTCCACCAAAAAGGTTTGGCCGTCTCTGTATTAGAAAAGGTTGAGAAGCCCATCTGTGGGCAATATATTTCAAGCAAAGCGTCCACGCAGAGGACAGTGTGAGGAAGGCACCTAATCAACGCCAGGGACAGGCTGGACCCTGCACACAGGGTAATGTTCCTGCTCTTCCAAGACTGTAACTCATTCCTTATTATTTGCAGACACAAAGCCATGTCTCAGGGCTCGTTACGCCCTATTCATTTTGTTCTTTATTCCTGACATCTGCGAGAGCTTTCTCCTTTGAAACGCAGCGCGCGCGCAGGCACTGGCCATGGCAAAGCTTTGAGGGACCCTACGCACCGTGCGCAGAGCAACACAAGCACTGCCCACCCCACGGGCGTCCCCGGCGTGGGCTGCAGCCGGCGGCAGGCAGCACCCATCCCCACACCACGCAGGTATGGCCACACGCACCCCCACGGGGCTGGTCGCACCTGTGGGAGCGGCAGGGATGGGAGCAGCCCTTTTGGGGGGCAGTCGCGAAGGGGATGGGGGGGGGTGTGTGGGGGGGTGCTGTTCTCAGAGCAACGCTCCAAATCGCAGTTCCCCAGATCCCAGTTCAGGTTGGGCGCTGGGAATGATACCTTCCCTGGGATGGTGCCATGGAGAGGGATGGGGTCTCCATCCTCCGGCATTTCTGAGGCTCCTCCCTTGCCATCTCTGCTCTTTCTCCTAAGCTGAACATGCGGAACTGAAAAAGTTTCCTGGAGAAACAACAGCTCCCTGAGCCCAACCCACTGACACAGGCTGGAGTCCCGGCAAGAAATCTCTCCACCAGGAACCCTGTCAGCGTTGTACAAGAAGCGTAAACGTCTTCAAACCCACCGCCTTTCCAAAACTTAATTTGCAGAAGTTTCGGAGAGGCTCTGCCAGGAAAAGTTTTGTCGAAGGCCTGGGAGGAATGCAAAAGGCACCGTTTTTAGGAAAGCCACCAAAAAAAAAAGCACAAAGCCGCCCCGACGCTGCAAGTCCTGCTGCCAGCTTCCCAGGCGCAGGGCTGCCTTCGGGAGCAAGCCCTGCCAGGCGGCGGTGAGCCACCAGCATCGCCCGTGTCCCAGAGCCCCCCGTGCCCACACCACCCCACCCCCCCCCCGGTGCTGCCAGCCCCATGGCCCTGGGAAATGAAGGAGCCGGGAGCTGCCACCCCGGCAGGGCTCCCCGGGGCTTTGGCCATGGGCAGCAGTCAGGGCTGGTGACCTGCAGCCCAGGGTCCCTTCGCAGGCAGCTGGGACTGAGCCGAGCATCCTGCCCCGCATTTGGAGGACACATGGCAGCTGGGCTGGCAGGCTTTGAAAGCGCTCCAACCAGCAGTCACTTAACTTTCGCCAGTACAAGCAAAAAAGGCAGGCTTTAAGACTCCGCTTCTGCACCAGAACTGCTCAGGACGGGGCTTGGCAGCACCCAGCAGCCACATCTCCCCTTACTTCTCCCCTGCACATGACGAGCAGCCCTTTCCCACTGCCTGCCCCTCGGTGACAACGCTTTTTTTTTTTTTCTTTTTGCCACCTCCACGCAGTGCAGCCAAACTTCTTGCAAGAGGCCGAGCCACCTCCTCACAGCCACGGGACCCCTGGCCTTTCCCTGCAATCACCACTTTCCAGCAAGGTGACTCCGTATGGCATCAAACCCAAGCACCCACGAGCATGCAAACTATGGAAATGGTCCTCCTGGGTATTTTCTGTAGGTCTTATGTCTACACGGAGGCCAAAGAGCAACAGGGGGGCCAACATGTCAATCGGCGGTGTTGCAGGAGACCCAGGAGCGCCGCCTGGACTCCCTGCTCCAACTGCCATGTGAAATCTCTGCTTGCCTTTGAGCTCAGCGAAAATCTCTCCGCAAAGGGAATAAACAGAGCTCGGAAGCCCAAGAGGAAGGAGGCAATGTTCCCGTTTAATGCTTACTGCTGGAAAGTCCCCGGGGCGCCCATGCCCACCCCAGCCTGCTCCCAGCTCTGCACTTCTTCAGCGATGGCACTTGCCTGAAGACGCCGGGGGGTTTGCATAGCACGCGCTTGCAAGTGGAGAGGGGAGAAAGGGAAGGGTTTTCGCAAACCTCTAAGCCTTCCTCTGGCAGCAGCAGCAGCTCGCCAGGCTGAATATGCAAACCTGAGGGCTCTGCGTGGGGAACCGTGAAGCTTGGCCGAACAAACCCCCCCGTGCCAAGTGCCACATCAAGTGCAGGCTGCCTTGGGGTAACGCCTGAGCCCCGGGGCTGGCTCTGGGATGGGGACAGCCACTCCCCATGCGGCGAGGAATCTCTCCCGGCAGCCCTGTGGGAAACCGTCCGCGTTCGCCTTCCAGCCCCTTGATCCGGGCAGTGACCGCGTGCTCCAGCTCGAAGCAGGCGGATGGTGGTAAATGACAGGAAAAGCCACAGCAGGGAAACCCGGGGACTTGCCCCCACACGCCGGGGCCCATCAAGGACCAGCAGGTATAGAGGAGGGGATGCACAGCGCTGCCTGGACCAAAAATAATCCAGTTAGGGCTCAGCCAGCACCTTCTCTCCCAGCTGAAGCCCACCTCAGACCCCCCGGGATATCAGGGAAAGGTGCGGGCATCGCATGCCCCTCTGCCAGCCAGAGCTCCCCCAGCACAGGCAGCAAATCTGCTGCCTGCACTCAGGGCTGGGGCCAGGTCCTCCCCCCTGCCAGGCTGCGCTGCCTGGGGCACGGGCAGGCTGAGTGTCCCCGCAGCAAAGAAAAGAAGCCATTAGCGCTGCTTTGCTCTGCA